GCCCCTCATCTCTCCCTCCCAGGAGCTGAACCGCACATGTCGCGCCATGCAGCAGCGGATCGTGGAGCTCATCTCCCGCGTCTCCAACGAGGAGGTGACCGAGGAGCTGCTGCACGTCAACGACGACCTCAACAACATCTTCCTGCGATACGAACGGTGCGTGCTGCAGCTAGGCCCCCCCTCTCTTTCTGCGTCCCGCCTCCGGGACTCTGGGAGGGAGCTGCGTGTGGGTGCAGCAGGCTGGGCTGTAGAAGAACCTCACTTCATCTGAGACAAAGCCACTTGACCCACCCTGCTCTTCCATTATTTTTACTGCTCCACACAAACCTCAGGTTTTTGCAGAAGATGTGCACGTTGCCACCTGCACGGTGGCCGTGGCTGCTCGTGTCCCTGTGCACCGCTGCTGGCGAGGCTGGGTGTCGGAGCGACGGGTCCCGTCAGGTGTCCTGTGACGTGTGTGGGTCTCCTGTTCTTTTGGAACAAGTGATAGGCTTACTCCATGCTGAAAAGAGAAGAGAGGAAACGTTTCTAACCCTGACCCTTTTCTTTTGACAGGTATGAAAGGTATCGGTCTGGCCGAGCGGCTCAGGGCGCCAACAATGGGGTGAGTGAGAAGCAGCGTGTCGGGGTGACAGACCCCTGTGGAGGCGGGGAACTTTAACACCATGACAGACCCGGGAGTTTGCTTCAGATGACCAGCTTCACTTCTGTCTTGCTTTCAGTTAATCCAGAGACCCTCTTTCCCTCGCCTGGAAGGGCTGGTGTGTCTGCATGTTTGCAGTCCAGCTGGACTCACAATAACCTCACTCAGCATTAATGAATCCGAATTAATGATTGGCTTGATGGAACCAGTTGAACAGCCTTGCCTAGATCTTCAGGTACTGGTGCCTTAAAGAGACTGCAGACCATCCAGCTCTCCAGGACCAGAATTTGGGACTCCTGATTTCTGACTGGCTGTGTAGTAGTTGCTATATATATTTGTGCAAAATATATTTTTTAATATATGTAATTTTTACTGTATTTGATCCGTATTAGTGGATTTCTGCATAAAAGCAAATTTTAAGGATATTTTTGGATGTATAGCTCAAATTTTAAATATAATCTTCAGCCAAGCATGGGTACAATTTCTTTTGTATTTGTTTTCAGTCATGCATGCCTTTTGATAAACCTAGGACATAGTTAGGACACAGCACATATATTATTTACATTTTTCTGTTTTTTTTGTTTTTCATTATGGCTAGCTGAGGCAGGCAAGTATGAAAGAGACACGCTTGTATTTAATTCTTTAATTAAGAACGGTCACATGGGAGAATGTCGAAACATGACTGGTAACATATGGCCGTCATTTTCCATCTCATTTCTGGACCATATGGCATGTTTTGACTCGTATCCTGAACAACAGCACTAACAGTAGGAGCCCCCCTCCCTGTCCAGTGCGAGGATGCTGCCCCTCCCTCCCCTGCTCCACTCTCAGCCCTGCAGTAGACGCCATTACCCACCCGCAGCTCTTTAACTCCTCCTCCACGTACACGCAGCCGCTGGGCTCCCTGCACCGAATCTGGCTTCAGGTCTCTTTCCTGACCGTAGAAGGGCTTTTGGAGCTGTGGTGCACTACTGCACTGATGTCTCATCGGAGAAACTCGCCCTTTCCTCACCCCCATGATCCCTTGAAAGGAAGCCAGCAGTGTGACTGGCTGCACTGGACCCCAGCTGCTTTGTGTGTGCTGGTGTCCCAGCTGCGCACGCGCTCTCGGGAGGAGAGTGCTGCTCCTGTAGTGCTGGCAGAAGTGCTGGTGTTGCTAGTGGTGGTGGTACAGTAGGTGCAGTAGTGCCAGTATGAAGTAGAAGTATTACAGGCAAGGTTTTGATGGATCTTGTCAACAACACGATTGTGTAACAAACTCCTTGTAGTCCCTGGGGTTCGATGAAGGCTTCTGTTTTGTTTAGTTCATGCAGGGAGCCTTACGGCTTTAGACAGCAGTAGCCTCTGTCCTGTATGTGGGAAAAACTCCAGCAAAGATGAGCGCAGTCTGATGTCATGCTCTCTATTCCTATGGGACTGTGGTGCCACAATATACATTATGACTGTATGTTTGATTCTAGTCTGTCTGCTGTTCAGAAAAAATATATATCTAGAAAAAGGCTCAATCTGCGATGGTTTTTAGAATACCCTGAATCCTAAAACATTCTTCTAGGGTGGGCACAGTGTTGGAAAGCTTTGAAATGACAAGAAATTGGGATTTGCTGATCCAGTCAGTCTTCCACCATCATATTGGGTCCTTAGATGACAGTCTTTTCGCTTTAACCCACAGTGTTGATGGGTAAGAAGTAGTGTTTGTCCTGCAGCAGTTTGTAAGTACACCCATAGTTCTTGTACAGACAACTCCAGGGATTTAGGGTTGATTGGTTTTTGTAGTATTTTCCCAACCATCGGGAGCCATTTCATTATTCCCTAGATTCACAAAGTTTTAACTCATGAGTTGCTTTAAGATTTTGTTCTTCCAAACAATTTTCTGTATTTAATTTTGATACTAAACAATTCTAAGAGTGCTGTGAACAAAAACATACTCCGGTGCTCCTCACAAGGGCAGGAAAAACACCATGACCCATGGTGAATATTACCATGTCGATTATCAAAGCCTGAAAAGTAAAAAGCCAAAATCTTTGAAGGACTCATTAGTGAACCCGCTGTGAGCCTGGCCTCTGGGCGGGACATGATCATCCTGGTCTCTGTGTGACCCTCTTGTCTGTCTGTCCGTTGATCCCCCCCCCCCTCCACAGGTCCTCAGTGAAGTGACCGAGGACAACCTGATCGACCTAGGACCGGGGTCGCCCGCTGTGGTCAGTCCCATGGTCAGTGCTGCTGCCCCAGCCTGCCAGCCTTCCCCTGCCCTCGTCTCCACACCCACCTCCCTGTCCACACAGCTCGCGGGGCTCGGTGAGTTCTGCCCCCTTTGCTTGTCTTTCTTTATTAAATGGGGAAGAGTGGGTCACCTTTGACCCGGAAGCACAAGAAGGCCCATCCAACCTACCCCTTGTTGACAAGGAGGCACCCACCTCATGACAGAGACCCCTAGTGTTCACGCTGGAGACTGCAGGGATGAACCTGGTGCTCCAAAATAAAATATATAGATCTTTAAACAGTGTGAATACATCTCATATGTAGTGTGAAGGATTTCTAAATACTCAGATCTGCTGTGCTGTATTGATGTGTGGTGTGTCGTATTGTAGTCACTGTCTCCACCTCATGCTCCCCAGACATCGGTACGGACAGTGTGTCTGGCGCCCTGAGCTCGCTTCCCACCTGTAACCCGCATGATGAGTTCGACATGTTTGCACAGACGCGCACCAGCTCCCTGGCGGATCAGCGCAAAAAGTAAGTGGTACCATTCCATGTGCTTTCAAAACCCACGAGCAAGACCAGGCTTAAATCTTGCATATCTGTATACAGCAGCTGCAGTTTGGCAGGGTAATTTCTGTTCATGCCATGAGCTCTTGTTAAAATATTAGGAATCCATTCTTGCGGTGGTTATTAATTATGAGTGATGCAGTTATATAATTGATTTTTCTTTCATATCCCCTTCAATCTTGGCACTTTGTTTTCTTAGTCGGACTAGTTAGTGGGATGTGATGCGGGGTGCACTCAATATGAGGTAGGAATGTATATTTTCAAAAGCATATGTAGTGATCCTACAAACTTTTGTCATTGAAGATGAAGACTAAACCATGTCTTCTGTAGACATTCAGCTGCTCTATTTAATCCATCTATTAGTTTTCTAACCCACTCGAACACAGGGAGAACATGCGAACTCCATGCAGATAGAGCCCCAGGTCCAGAATTGATCGCAGCTGCAATAGTAACCACTGCGCCACCATGCCGCCCCCTCTATTTAATCATAAATTACAACATACCCCTTCCTTGGTGTGGTAATAAGGCCAGAGGAAAGACTTATTCAGCATCTTTCTGTTCTTAGTGTAAAGTATGAAGACCCCCAAGCGCTGGGCAGCCTAGCTTCTGCTCTGGATGTCAGACAGCAGAACACAGGAGGGGTGAGTACACCAAGACACGCAGCACGCTGGGAACTGTAGTTTCTCTACCCCCTCCTCCCATGTTGATAGTGAGTGTGGTGCTGTGCTGTAGGACCAGCAGCCTGAATGCTGCGCTGAGTCATAGTGTCCCTTTCAGTGCTGGATGTGTCTCTCTGCATGGACTGCTTTTGCAGTGTGCCGCTGACTTCCGCTCCAAACTGAAAGACACTCAAGCTCCGACTAACCTTTCCTCGTGGCTGCGGCCTTGAACTTGGCAGACACAGCTTTTCAGGTTGTGTGGATGCAAAGGTCTTTGACTTGAGTTGAGGAAACGATGATATCGTGAAAGACATCAAGGCAGCATGGGCAGTGCTCTGTGATGAGTTCGTTCACAGCCTCTGAAGACGGACTGTGCTAGCCTGCAGCATGAGTGGATCTTTGCTCTTCCATGCCCTCCTGGGAGTGTTTTTTCCGCCTCCGACACTGCTGCCCCAGAGGCTCGTGAGATTGCAGTAATGTGCCCTGTGGACAGTCTTTCTCTCTCCAAGACAAAGTGCTGTTTCTATCAGAAGCCTTCCTTCCTATCGCGGTGCAGGGTGTGGCAATAACAGCAATGCATATAAAATTCATATATATGTTTGCTTTTTTAATTATCATAGATTAAATTAGTGGTTTCATTATCTGGCAGATTATAATTTGATTTAAAGCCGTAGATAAGGGTAGAAGGTATGACGAAACATCAGTGTAATGTACAAACAACTATTTAAAATAGTTGCCGAATGAGCAGTCTACCCACGATATGGTATATAAGAGCTCTGCCACTTTGCAGAAGGTGTAGGGTGACGATTAGTGCAGCTGTAGGTTTAAAATCACAGCTTTTATTTCTGGAGTGAAACACTCCAGAAACGTTCCTCTCATTGAAGGTGAACTGTGCTCTCAAACGCGGCTGATTAAAATGAACTATGCAGAGCAAATATCCAGCTGAACCGCGCAACCTGCCAGTGTGTCGCTGAACCTTGACTCTCATCGGAAGGTGCTGCAGATTGCCTGTGTACACGCTGAGGGTACACAGAGGCTGCCAACTTCCTCCTCTGGGCACAGAGGCGGCGCACTGATGGGCACTTTGCCACAGGCAAACAGCAGGCATCAGAAACAAGCACATGTCAGTGCAGTCCCACCAAATTCAGGTTTCAGCTATTTTTAACTTGTCATTGTAGTCGCATCTGGCAAGCGTCCTGTCTGTTGTATGCGTATTTAGCTGACAGAGACAAGGAGCATTGCAGAGTTTCCATGGACTCCTCAGAAGAGAGAGAGAAACTGGATAAGAGCCCCCCTGAGCTCTGAAGAGCTGCGAGGTTAAGGCAGATCAGACAGGAGACTATTTTGACATGCACGTTTGATTTTGTTGATGAGTTTCTGCCTCTGTTTTTCTCTCCACCTTTTGTTTGTCTCTCTTTGGTGTTTGGTGTTTATTTTATTTTTGTACTTCTTGGGCTGTTCTTTTTCTTGCTATTTTATATAAGGCATTTTCTGTTGTTGATTCAGCTGAGGTTAAAAGGTGGTAACCCAGACATGGAACCAATAGACAGCTGGCTTATTACCCAAGGAATGGTGAGGATTTCACCAGCACCACTGTCCCTCAGTGTCCCCGCTGACATTCCCCACAGACACTGTCTCCCCTGTGCCCCCAGCCCCCTTGTCCCACTAAACCTGTCCCCTCAGACAGTAAAAGGGAGAGCTTTTGTTGATGCCCCTTTCTCTTCTTACTCAAACGATTTAATTCTAAGCCCCGAAGTGTCTCAGTGGGGTTTGGTTTGGTGTTGGCAAAGAAGATGCAATGCCAACGTCCGCCAGACCTGACAGCGGACAAAATATTTCACTTTTGAATCATCATTTCGGTTCGAATGTCTTTTTCCGGGACGGGGGGGAGGACACAGCTCGATTTCGCCAGGGAAGGGTTTGGGAAGAATGCAAACCCTGGCGCGGGGGCTGAGTGCCGCAGCAGGGAGTGGGTGGAGAAACCCGGGCGAATTGTGGCCCAAGCTAGCCCTGACTCTGTGTCCGTCTCCGTGTCCCGCTGCGACACTCGAACCTTCCGAAGCAGAGCGGCCGACTGCCCAGTGTGTGCAGACCTGTTGTATTTTTAGCACATGCTGGATAACAGTGGCCCCCAGCTCCAGCTCTGCAGGGTGTGTCGGCCTGTTTGATCGTTCCTCAGTCCAGAACTTATCGTTTTCATGTTCCCTTCGCTTCAAGAGTGAACACTGTCATACACCAATCTGTACCCGAGGGGATGGATGATGACAAGTTGCCCTAGTGATCTCCTTTTTCTGTATTTATTTCATTTTTTGAGTAACTACTATTTTTTATTAAAATAAGCAGTATTGGATATCTAAGAGAATCGTTGCATTTCTTGATTTTATATTTGAAGGCAGTTGTGCAGTGCAAACACTAATAAGGTTGGCAGCTCACTGAAATCCAGCCCCTCCACCCTCACCGCTGGGCTCTGCAGACACATTTACTCCCTGCAGGACACCGGGAGCTGGAGCGTTGATTGATCAGAGCAGTGTAAATGAGTGAATTTACAGTCGCAGGATGACTCCCCTGTGCTCCGTCCCTTTTACTGTTGTGAACCATGCCACGTCATTCCAACAGCCATTTTTGTTTTTAGAAAAATGAAAGCATAGGCTTGTTCCTGCTGGGAGGCTTGTGTTTTCATGAAATGCAGTTCATCATGAGTGTTTTCACCCAGGCCCTTCAGACCTCATGCTCAGTAACTCTTCTGATTCTCCTGCCACGCTGATAACAATCTAGAAACCTGAGCTTCTTTAACCACAAACACCTTTTTAATATCGTTTAAACTAGTATTTTTATTAACCCCTCTGAACTTAAAACCATAGATTGTAGAAGACTCTAACAAATTAACCATTTGGTAACGTAATCCTGATTGTTTGTAAGTCAATGTGAACTGTATGACTGAATAATACAGTAATTATCACTCTCCCTCAGCCATGTGTGGAAGAGGTATATTCCTAGCAATGAGGCAGAGAGCTCCCCAAGAGAGCAGACAATAGCCTGTCTTTTTTTCAGCAATTTGATATCTATTCCTCCTGCCATTCATTCATAATAGCATTTCTTGTTTCCAGTGCTATTCCTTTTCAGTGGCGTATCTAGATGCAGGCCCGCATTTAAATAATGGGGCTGAGTCCTGAATCCTGATTCTGAACCTGGAATTTGTGGAGGCGTCTTCAGCCCAGCCCCGTCCGCTCCCCGCCCCCTTTTCTTAAGGAAGCCCCGCTTTCACTGCCCTCTGATTGATCGTTTGTGTTCCACTGGGAGTGATCGCCTACCTTCATTTGAGGATTCTCTCCATATCACTCGCAGGCATTAGAGTTCGTACTGTCCTGGGACTTCTCGTGACCCTATCTGAAACGACCTTGCTGCATTATGGGGAGAGTGTAAACCTGCTCAGATGGGAAGCACGGTCTCTTACTGGACTGGCCCAGTCCTCCGGGACAAAACTATTCACAGTGGGAAAGCTCCTTCAATCACTCAGCCATGTGACCGGTGTCTGTATGGCCTGGAACCTCCCTGAGCACTTTTGCTCCTGTCCCACTTAGCCTGTCCCTGTGGTTATTATTGTGCTGCTGCTATTAGCAGCATTGCAGCCAGCACATCTGAGGCTCCACCATCACAATCCCTCTGATCCTGAAAACAGAAGAGTGTCCCTGGGTGAAAAACAAGCACATCGGAGCTGGCTCGCATCCTGCGGCTCAGGCTGTCCGATACCACAACATCTGGCTAATTGGTGAGGGACTCCAAATGCACAACCTTGAAGGACATGACTTTGAGCAGAGCGATGCAAGCGCTAACCTCTCTGCATACAAAACCAAAGCGGGTCCTCTGCTCTGAGGGTGCATCTGCAGTGTTTCCATTGAGGATACATCATCCTGTCATTTTTAAGTGATGGCTTTACCCTTTTTGGAGCTTTGGTCTCCTCTGTCTGGACTTTCCCCGTTTCCTACAACAGAACAGATGCAAAGAGGGTGAGCGTGTGATTTTCTGCAGTGGCCCTCCTGGAGCTCGAGCTGTGCAGAGGCTGCGAAAGGAGGTGGTGTAGCTCCAGGGCAGCAGAAAGGCAACAGCAGTAGAGCTGCTCTTTCTGATTCTGGCGCCTTGTGCTCTCTGCGCTTTTGTGCAGGAATGAGTTAGCGCTCCCTCTGCCCTTGAGCGCCGTGCTTCACGATCGCCCTAGTGCTCTCCAGGCGCTGCGTGCTGCGCCAGCCCCGATATCTCACCACTGCTCGCATGACGTCATGGCGTGTCTTCTTGTCCCCGTGTCAGTGCTGAGTGTTGATGCGTGTGTTTTTGCCATTGTTTCCTTTTGAGTTGAATTTTTGGATTTGTTTTTTTCAATGCGAGTGTGTTTTTCTCAGATTTACGTTGAAGTTGTTTTTTTTTTGTTTGTTTCTGGGTGTATTTTACGGCTTTGCCCGCCTTGGTTTGTCCCTGGCTTTGCTCCATAGATTCCTGTTGCGCAGTCCTCTGTCATGGATGACATTGAGGAGTGGCTCTGTACTGACGTGGTGAGATTTCTTTACCTTGATTTCTTTCTCTCTGTCATCTGTTTTTTTGCAACCATTATCCTTTCGTTTAGTGTTAAAACATCGTTTTTGTTTTTAATTTTTTCCTGCCTGTTGGAAGATGACAAATCAGGAACTCTTGTCTGTTTCACAGTGTTAAAATCTGTTACAAACACAACTGAAATAACCAGCAGAGTCTGGTCACATATACTGCATCCGTCAAACAGACTAGTGTAAAAGGCAGTTGTGCTGACAATACCTGCCATAGAGAGCTTAATGTTTTATTTTATCCTTAGTCTGTAACTATTGTAAATCAAACATCAAAGCTGAGGAATGTTTGCACTCTTTATACATTTTTAGCCTTACTGTGTTTATGATAACTGTGTAGCTGAGTTATGGACCTGATCGAAAAGTCTGTAGTACTGTCCTAAGAAGCTGGGCGGTCTGGACAAGTTTATTTGAAAAATAGATTAGTCATGCCATGTGATTTTTAGCATAACTCACAATCTCTCGCTTACGTTTCCCTACAGAAGACTTGATGTCATTACAAGTCTGTGTTTCGAGGCATTTCAAGCAGTCCCAATAACAATGAAAATGACATGCAGGAAAAATTATAATGCATGACAAAGGTGCTCTCATGTATCCTTACTAAAGGACCAGGTGTTGGTTTCCATGCATTCTGAAGTTTCTGGACCTGGTTTACAGAGTAGAGAATGTTATGCAGCCAGTTTCAGAGGTGGCCATGATCCAATCCAAGTGCTTTCTCTCCAAATCCGCTTCTGGTGGAGCATTGATAACCAGTGGAAAAAAATGTTGTATAATCACAAACACTGGGCCTGAATAAAGGCTAGTTAAGCATTAAATGTGTGGTCAGTGATTTTTCCCCATAACAAATAAAGCAAATTCAGTTTGCAACATTTCGGAACACTGCAGGCATTGTTTTCCAATGGTATAGGTAGAATAAGAAGGATCTTCTGCCTTAACAAACTTCTAAAAGATGTGTTTACAGCAACATGTAGACCTTGCATGTCAGGTCTGTAGGCCAGCTCTAAATCTTTGGACAGCTTTCTTTTTTGTTGTGGAGAAACTAACCTGCTATGAAAACTGGGATTTCAAAACTTCTAGCCGAATTAATTCAGGTGCTAAAACAGAATTGCAAAAATATGATAAATGTCGTCGTAAACAGTGCAACGACATTTCCCCTGTGTTCTTACACTGACCCAGGTGAGACACTGCTGTTGTCCCCTTGAGGAAGTTATTTCACCCATATTGTTGCAGCAAAATACTCAGTTGTATAAATGGATGTAAGTATGAGCTCCTGAGGACAAAACTCATTATTTAAATTGAACTGTTGCCAGGAAGAACTTTTATAATGTTGGTGCATCTGCTGGTGAGTATGTTAAAATTAACACCAGTTGTCACAGCAAGACACAACCTAAAATCTGTTACAATTTATTAAATTTTTCCAATATTTTAGAACGAATTTGGGACATATTGATGTATTGTATAGGAAATTGGAGTGGAGTTAAAAGCATGTGTCCTGCTCTTTTAACTGGAGCTGATTTTAGCAAAACCAAGTCAAACCTGGATATAGAAGTTGGTGAGAAAATGGATAAAGCAGAAAACCTAGTCCCACCACTAAGAGGTAAATACTGTTTGGCCAACACAACAGTGAATGATATTAAAACTGAGATGGTGATGAATTAATGGCATAACAGGAGAGATTATGCTAAAGCTTTTAATCAAGGAGAATGGTGTTTTAGGGGGAGAGTTAAAACCTGTAAATTAAATCCTAGACCCTTTAAAATGAGCGTTAAGGAACGTCTGTGTCCGTTGGGAGTTCTCGGATCAGCGCCGCTGTATCCAGAGTTATCTCCCCTAGATCCAGGCATCTGTGTCTCATGTGTCGGGCCCAGGGGAACCGAGCTGCTGGCTGGGTTGCCAGCTCTTTCAGGACCCGCCCTGCTCAGGTGCAGAGTGCTCTAGTCTGGGCGCTGCTGGGGGGGAGGGGCAGCGGGTACATCAGGGGCTGCCCAGTGACTCTGTCCCGTTTCTCTTTTCTCTCCTGATGGGCAGAAAGGAGATGAAGCAGACGAGGGAGTGACGAGTGAAGGTCAGCATCTTTATCTCAGGTCACCGAGAGCAGTGAGATCAGCTATACTGCAGCAGAGTGGCACACGAGCACATTAAATAATAATGCATTTTTTTAAATGGTGGTCTGTCCTTCTGTTGATTTTTATTTACACTTCGTACCATTTTTCTATTTTTATGTTAGCATATTACAAATGCATGCTACAAAAGGAAGTTAGAAATCTAAAGATATGTTTTGTCATTCTTTAGGGAATGGACAGTGGCTTGACTTTGCTCTCTTTTATTCACCTTCAGAGTTCGACAAGTTTTTAGAGGAGAGGGCCAAGGCAGCCGAGATGATTCCCAACCTGCCGTCGCCCCCTAGTGGTGACCCCGTTGCCCCCGCCACTGCACCCAGCGGCAGTCGGAAGAAAGCCGAGCGGTCAGAGGATGCCCTCTTCGCCTTGTAGATACTGTCTGCTAGTAACCGCCAGCCATGACACCTCACCAACCCACCCCTCTGCTCACTCTCCTGTGGCCCCATTTGCAAGCAGAGCTGATGGACAGAACCACCCCCCTTCCCCGTGACCTCTCCTGTCCAGGACGCTGTCATCTCCCCATCTCCCCTCTGCCTGTTCTTGAACCTGCAGCGCCGCCGGGCCAGGCTCTTATCTGGTTTCCTTGCCAACCAGAAAGCAGTACGCCTAACACTGTCCCAGGCGGATGATGAGATGATCCCTTCATCGCTACCCGTTAGCTGCTCCATCAGTCCCACTTTATCCAACAGTTTAAACTGACACATTTGCAGCTGTCTTTCGCATTTCAGAAAAGAAAAATAGAACTGCAGAACCTGTCTTAATTTTTCTTGTTGTGCCTGTTGTCTGAGTCGGGCCTCCGAGCAGTCCTGGGAAGAGAGACCGAGGGATATTCAGGTGTCTTTCCTCCTTCAGAGTCCCTCAGTGAAAGATAACACCTGGCCAGTGTGTTTTCCAAAAATTAAAGGCATGAGGGTGGGTAGATTAGGTACCTGCAGTGATCGCTTCTGTGAGTTTTTTTAATGTTAGTTGCACCTAGTTCCTTGACCTTTTTTTTCAGTCTGAGTGAATAAGCCCCTGAAGAGGATAATTCATCATTATTATTGTGCCGTTATTATTTACATATGGAGACTTACCCCATGTTGAAGGTTTTCTAAGGTGATTCTGCTTTTGGTTTTGGTACGGTGTAGCCAGTGTATGTTTCCGTTAATTACTTTTCGAGTTTTTTTTCCCTTCGTGTCTAAGACTGTATTGAGCAGGGCAGCTCTACGAAGAGAATGTGCGTCTGGAGGGTTTTATCCAGTGTCCTTCACATACAGCCTACCTGTCTGTTCTTGAACGGTGGAGACGGGCAGTGTTATTTCCCAGACACTGATTTGCTGTCATATGAATGAAACAGGACTTCAGTTAATCTGTGCACTACACACCCCGCTGATGTGCAGCGGTGGAACCTTAAGGTTATAGAGAGTGGCCGTTACACGACCTTTTTGAAGGGCCCTGCTTGTGTGCAGCTGACTCCTCCACCCCCTCGGCACCCCCTCGGCCAGCGTGCTCTCACAGCTGGGTCTGATGTTGCTCAGGGCAACACAGGACTTTTCCCCAGGCAGGATTTTAAAAGGGAATGCAAAGCCGGTAGAGTGACCTTCGAATTCTCAGAACGTGATTCTTGTTGTTTTTTTTTCCTGTAAGGCGTATGAGGTCTTTCCTCGCTTTGTGTATATTTGTAAATACTGTAACTGTATTAGTAAATTCAGCTAACTGGAATGTACGTTGATCAGCATTTAACCCACAGCAAATGCAGTTTGAGAAAAGCCATGGTACACAGGGCACCTACATCTCCAGCCTCAGTGTTTTAAATGCACTCTTAAATATTTAGCACAAGATTTGTTTTCACAGAGAAAAATAATTCTGAAGAGGAGCCAGGGCAGTTTCCTTTGTTTGACAACAGTTGTGTCAAAGCATCAGATATTTTATCTAATTGAGTTTGAAAGGGGTTTGTTATATATTAGGGTCTAGCCTATTCCCATTAAATAGTCTTGTGGGATTTCTCGGTGTGAATTTTAAAAGGGACATTTGTATAAATGTGATTCATTATTTTTAAAAGAAAAATATTTTCCCTGTTTTGAAGCCTGTCAGTTGGCAGTGTTTCAGTAGTCGTAGATGAGATTACACAACTACCATCTGTAATTCTTTCTGGACTCTTGACCTGCTATTTTTAAAGGTTTTGTGCAAAGTGGATTCATGTCAGTGGAAAGGACAAACCAGCCTGAGATGCTTTTAGATGGGAAAGCCAGGGAGATGTAAGCAGAGGCTTGGGGCGTGGTTTCTACACCAGGGTGAAGCAGAGAAATGACAGATTAACCATTCTGCAGAAGATTTAACAAAAAGTTTCAAAGGAGAGTATCTTTCTGTGCAGGACTGTGAAACCTCGGAAATGGGCAATAAGTGATAATGATGAGCTTTACCCTTCACTGCCTGAAAGCACACTTGCATCACTGCTGTGTCGACCATCCCTACTGTACTGTCTTCACTGAGTCAGAGTGCATTCTGACCTTTCACCTGGACTCAGTCCGTATGGAATATGTGGATTTACAAAGTATGGATATACCAGAGCTGGGAAATACTGATTAGATAACAGACTGATATTGTGCCGATGTGCTTGGAAACCTTAAGAAATAGCATTAAAGCAGTGTGCTCTACTGTAGATGTTTATCCACAGAGTTAGATCTATTTGAGCATGAAATAAGAGACGATGCTAAAATAGATGTGCATTTCAGCTATTTATTAACGTGTGTTAATTGTAACAGAACTATTAAATTGGATAGTGGAAGATAAGCTATTGATGTACTGTATACATTTTAATATAAGAGAACACCGCAAAGCTGTCTTAGTTGGTGGTGTCACCAGTGTTTCTTGAACTGTGTCATAAATGACGTCTTTGAGGGAAAACAATTAAAAGTACTGAACAAAATGCCCTGTGTGTCCAATATCAAAACGTCCTCAGATGTAGTCCCTTACACAGTAACACATGGGTCTATCAGTGTATGAAAAGTAAAATATGTATTTTAGGAGAGGTATCTGAGTTTTGTGGTTCTAAGAGAAGAATGCTTAAATAGAGAAATTGTACATCAAGCTAAAAGCCTTAGAACTCAAAATGCGGATCAGGTGGTAAAAAAGCAATGAGATGAAAATGTCATTAAGCGATGATTTGAGGTGGGCTGTGGGTTTAGTGTAGATAATCATTACAGCTGTGCTAAACATAGCGAACAGTCTGTCTTTTTCACAGCTTTTTGGGCCATAACTCTTCAGTCATGGTATTGAAGAACAGGCGTTTTGCCATAGTGACTGTGGCTACTGTGGAGATGCAGCAGTAGTGCCACATGTAGCATGTAGGCTTGTAGCATTTGTAATAAATGAAAATCAGAAGCAGGAAAGAAATTAGTTCCTGGGCTGTTCATTCTTTTCCAACATGCTTCTTAACTTTGCAGACATGAATTTCTTGTACAGTGTATTGTAAATCCATTTTTGCTGAGATAAAAGATATAACACTATCAGAAAAGTTCCTAATTTTAACTTTTATTATAGAGAGCTCTATAAAAATCATTCTGGTTGCTTGCAGCTGAGACATTTATCTTTATATCTGTAATCACTTAGAACATTAGAAAATCTTTTAATAAGATTAATTTATTGTTTTTAATATTCTTTGCAAGTATCAGCATTAGGGAAAATGTTTTACAAGATTAAAAAGAAAGAAATGAAAGGTTCTTGTATTTGTGTTAAATGTGTATAACTCTTCATGTTTGTGTGCACTAGCTGGGTCGCACTCTTCCACAAAGTTTATTGGATCTAATTTTGTTTTGTTTGTTTTTTTATTTGAAAAAAGTAATGTACCTTAGCTTTTAACCTTGCAACAGAGTTGAGGAGCTGTGATATCTACAAGACTAAACTGACATATAGAAGTGTAACTGCTTATTTCCTTTTATTTGAGCCTAGTGGTCTGTGCTACGCAGTTTGAGCCTGGAGAGTGCGCTGATGTTCTGAGAAACTTCAAATCACTTTGGTTCTCTTTAAAATGTAATATCTGACATCTCTGGGCGTATTTTTGTCTATCAGTTTTTTAACAGAATTCATCATTTGCTGGTAAATGTTTGTGTTGCAGAGTTAACCAGTGGTGTTAAAAAGAGAAACAGCACAAGATTCCTGGGAGTTACGTACGTTTTGAGAAATTGATACACATCTTCGCAAATACAGTATGTCTTTTGACACGGAAGTTAACACATTGTGCTGATTTTGTTTAATGCACCTAATGATGTTCTGTGTAACTGAAAACAGTTCTGTGCCTGACGTCAGGGGGTAGAATCTTGGAAGTGAAAGTGGCTGGATGAAGGTCTTGACTCACCTGAAGGTGTCAGGTGCATTCTGGAAGCTGTTCTGCCTGCTTCCTGAGTTCTGCACCTGAGCTTACCCTTAGGGCAGCAGGGACCCAGAGAGAACAGTCTTGTCATGTGTGTGTAATGGCCTGTCCTTACTGCTGCTGTTACCGAAGTTTCGCGCTGTGCTGTACGAACTCTTGCATGTGTTAAACTCCAATAAAACACTACCAGTGTGATCTGTACATTCCGGTCTCTGTTGTTCTTGCTTGGAAATACTGTACCTGTGTAAGTGTAGGCTGGTGTTCCAATTACTGCATAACCTGAAGAACACATTTCCTATCACAATTCTAGGAATCTGAAACCTTAAAATAACTGTGAACCCATAAAATAGTGCCAATTAAATGTTAAATGTAAACTTTTATGTAAAACATCACAACTGACATTATATTGTACAGTAGAATTAGTACTTGAACAACCACAGCAAAATCTTTCAGCTTTAATTTGTGTTGAAATAGCTTAAATATTTATTAGGAATAAAGAACAGAAGGATTACTGAAAAACTTAGAAACTAAAAATGCAAACTGATCCTGGCCTTAATATTGCCTGACTATTGCATAGCTGCTTAGGTAGGAAGCTTTAACCCTTGTATGCTAACTTGGGTGAAGGAAGATCTTTTTTTACGTCCTTTTAAAACTTAGTTTTAATGAATCTTTGGAAAATGAGCCACTTAACCCTTGCAGAATTGCCAAATGTCCCTCTGAAAAAAACTTACATCTCAACCCAAATAAAAACGTCAGTGTGATCCCTGTAAAGCGAATTCCATTGCTGTTCCTCCTCTGATGAACTTGGTCAACACCAGTTAATAAAGCTTTGCTCCGTTAGGAAGAGGAGGACATTTCGAAAGGGTGGTCAGCATCGCTGCCCCACAGCTCTGGGCCCCCGCGTTCAATTCCAGACCCAAGGTGCTGTCTGTGTGGAGTCTGCATGTTCTCCCCGTGTTTGCGTGAGTTTCCTCTAACAAACACTTTAAAACTCATTTAGAGCTGCCCTCCTTGTATTGAAAGTAAAAGTCTCCATACTCACTAAGACAAACAGCAAATATTTTTTTTTTGCAATCGATCTGTTCTGGGGAGTCCTTTCCTAGCGGGTGTTAAACCTCCTGTGCTAAAAGTTACCCCCCGGAAAAACTGGAAAACGAGCTGCGCCCGTCCAGCAAGGATTACGTGATGTAATCGCAGAGCCACAGCTGTGACGTCAGATCACCCCACACTGTGCGCCGCTTTTCATTGGTCGGGGCCGCTGGTTCTACAGGCGGGGCCGCCTCTGCGACTCCAACAAACTTGACTGCGCGCAGTCCCGCCTGCGGCCGCTCCCCATTGGCTGGCGGGGACACGCCCACAGGGGCTCGCCTGTGCGGCAGCCGCCGCTTGTGTCTCTGGGAAGCTGCTCCGCTCGCTGGCTGTGTGCTCATGGCCTGTTCAGGATGCGGCTTCGGTTAGCATGAATATCACCTGTCCACGTGGAAGTTGAGTCCATAGTTCTTAGTACACTCTGGGACCGTGCTGCCCTGCGACTGCCTGACCCGAGCAAATGAAGACTTTTATCACTGATTGTGAGCGGACATATTTTTTTTTGTAGTACATTTTAACGGTACACAAACATAGCAGGGGTTTGATAAAAGGCTTAAACAATATATAATAATATCTGTAATTACATTAGTTTTATTGCTGATTAAGAATAGCTTTTGCCACAAGGCGTGCCAGATTAAAAACCCACTTCTTCCATACAAGGCAGAGACCCTATCCCACATGGCAGCCTGGTGCCGAGCTCAAGAATAGAGCCGCACTGCTGTTGGGCCCTGGGGCAGAGCTGGTTATCACACAGTCACCAAACTGAGCTGCTGATGCAGGAGACTCACTAAACCCTGACTAAACCCCCTCAGGCACTGCAGTGTGATCCAGCACACAGACCCTGCTCGGTGACTCCCACTCTGTTCCTGCAACAGGTCTCTCAGGCCGCTCCTGCCCTGAGCTCACCACAGTCATCAATGACCCACCCCCTGAGCCTCAGGGTCCCGGGCGAGCGGGAGAGGAGAGCCCAGCCATCACACTGCACTCCCAGGGGAAGGGCCGGGCAGCTGCGAGTGAGAGAGGTCAGAGGGTGTCTGTAGAAGCAGAAAAGGCAGAAAGCAGAATAAAATGAGGTACCAGATCTGTAAAGAAATATTCCCAGTTATTATGCATGAGGCTGGACCGGTGAGAAGAGATACAGCTGTTTTTCGGGGGGGGCAGGTGAGAAACACACCCCCCTCTCCTGGCCAGACCGCACATGGCCGCTGTTCTGCCGCTGATTGGCCGGGAGCGCCGTCAGTCCGCGGTCGTCACGGAGCTGCGGGGCGGTGCGTCTGGGGCTTCCCAGCCAGCAGGCTAGGGTGTCGCTCCGCTCAGTGTTTGGACAAGTTTACCGTGAGCGCTCAGCATGGAGGAGCAGGAGAGCAGCGAGTAGACAGACGCATCAGTCACAAAGTTTGATTTCACTCTTTACTGCCGTCTCTGGGGGGCTCCCCCCCCCCTCCAGACGGGACTTTTCTGTGTTTATTTTTTATGTTGTATTTTAATGGAAACTTCCACGTGATAACTCGGGATAACTGCGAATACACTTGTTAAAAAGAAACAACCGAAAATGAGCGGCCTGCCCTTTGACGACCCGTCGCTGGACCACCTGGACCCCAGCCTGTCTCTTCATGAGCCCAGTGAGATCGACACCGCGCTGCTCAGCGACATCGACGGTAAGCCCGCAGGCGTGCGGACCCGAACCGGACCCGAACCGGACCCGAGCCGGACCCCGGCTGCAGCCTCGCACGACTGTCAGTGCCGGGACTGCTGCTCGGGCACCGCGCCTGTCCTGTCGGCGCAGCTGTGCTCGGTCTGGCTGGCAGTGGGGTCCGCAGCGACATGTCCCCCTGCGCGCACAGCAGCCCAGAGACCCCCCTCTGCCTCGGGCCGTGGGGCGCTTTCGGACAGACGAGCTCAGGGCCCGCGGGGTGCCGGGCGCAGGGAGGCGGGTTATTGGGGTATCTCAGTGCGGGGGTCCAGCCCCCCAAAGCGTCCGGAGCAGGGCTGCTCTCTGCTCTCGAGCGCCCCGCCCCCCCCCTGGCTGCTGCGCGTGGCGTCACGCGGGGTTACTCTCGTGCATTCCCCCGCCCGGAGTTCACCCGCGTGTTTCTCTCACCCAGGGCCGGGGGAGACACTGAACGATTTGCACCGCTTTCATTACAAAGCCGCGGTCTCCCGGGGGGGGCTTCCTGCAGGGGCCGGTCATCGAGCCTGCAGGGGGGACCCTGTCCGCTGAACACGGCCCGGGGCTCGCTCCCGCGGTGTTCAGGAGACCGCCTTTCTTAAACGATTCCTTCTCGGTCCCGCTGTCGCGTTACAGGGCGATTGTTCTTATTCTCCCCCTGGTGACGCGACCTGCGTGGGAGAAGCTGCTTCGTCGCCGTGTTTCTGTCGGGGGGTGTGCGTGACCGCGAGTAACCCCGCCGCCTGAGCAGACGCACACGCTGCCCGATAGTAACCCCGGTCGTTCACCCTGCAGCCCGGGACACCGTGGGCTCAGACACGCTGGCTCTCTCGCCGTGTCCCGGGGGCAGGCCCGCATAGCCAGGCGCCCAGCCCGCATCCCATTGGCTGCGAGCGATCACCTCATACCAAAACACGGCTCGCACCGCCCGGCCCCCCGCGGGCGTGAGGGAGGCGTGTCCGACGGGAGCTGTGCTCCTCTGTGGGCTTGACGGCCCGGCCCGTGCGGGGAGGACGTTCAGCTCCCTCTGGACACGGGGATGCGCGCAGCTCTTGAGGAGTTTGTGATTTCGCAGCTGAGCAGACAGCTTTCACACTGGCTGGCAGTATGGACTGCACTTTAGAAGGTAAATGTTAATGTTCCTGTGGCTCTCTGTGTGTTTCCAGCGCACCTGTGTGCTGCATCTCGCGGTCTCTTGCTGGAATTAGCTTGTTCTTGGGAAGCCTCTGTGTGGACAGACGTATGTCATCTTTCCTTCACACCTACAATACTGGCTGAAAGACGGTGCTGTGTCCTGGACAGCACCAGCACTTTTGCTGAGCTTGGAAACTGCAGTGAACCCAGTCGTACACGAGACTCCCACTCCGTAGCTGTTGTGATCCGTTTCGTGGTTTTCCAGCTGCAGGGTCAGGTATGACCTGATAAGAGGTGTGCTGGGCCTTTCAGAGTGTAGCTCCAGCAGGGAGCTGTGCCAGCATGCGCAGGCTGCAAAGGAACAGGTAAGGGTTTATTCCAGGCTGAGAGGACAGAGCAGAAACACGACGTTTCGTCAGGCGTGTGGCTCCACAGCCAAACGTTGTGTCTCTTTTCCTTTCAGTGCGGAATAAACCTTTACCCGTTCCTTTCAGGCGGTATTTGCTGAAGTGACAAGTGGCAGCCTCCCGGTTCCTGATGACCTGCGGCACATGAAGCCGAAGTCTCTGGGCTGCTGTGTGCGGGAGGTTTCTGTCGTGAGCTCACTGGCTGTCTGCTGTTCCTGCTCATGCTAGAACACTGTTCGGGTACTCTTTGGAGCTGAATGCTGCCTGAAGCCATTCTATGTTTGTAAATAAGAGCTGCTGTTCTTGCTGAACGTGTTCGGTACTTGAATTAGCTCAGGCAGGGGTCTCCTGCCGTGATCCTGGGCTCTAGCAGTTGCCCTAAATCACCTGTGTCCTAAAGGTCAGCGACACTAGGAGAGCCATCGATCCGATAAGCAGAGTGCTCTGTGATGTTTGATGCAGAGGATGTTGAAATACCTGAGCGAGTCACCTGCTCAGGCAGTCAGTGAAGTGAAGCTGATCTTGCCAGTGTTGGGGCAGACCTGGGTGGGACCAGGCCGGCGCCGGAAGTGCAGAGGAGCCGAGAGAGACTCCTGTCTGCAGAGCGGCACTGGGCCCCTGCTGTCCGGGCTGGTGGTGCACCACCCGTTAACCGTTCAGACTAAACTCGCAGCTAATCAGATTAGTCATTCGCGCAGTTGCCCTGTGAAAGTGGCGCCATCGCGTACATCACGGTGACCAGACTGGCCGCAGGGCTCTGCCTTAACGAGCTCCTTTATCACCCCTGTAGCTCGTTAGTGGTGTTGTAAAGACACCCAGGGTGCACAGTCAAAAGGTTCCAGTGCCATTAAAATAGCCATCTTCAGATTGGAGAGCAAGATTAAAAAAAAAAAAATCCGACAGTATGAAATTGTTCCTCTGATGTGGAGTTGAGAGGAGCTTGTCTGGAGGCAGGGGGTCCGAGGGTCTGCCAATGTTTCGCGTTCTGATCGATCAGCTTGCTCCTGCTCTGTCTGTCTTGCCCCCCGAGCCGGTGACGCTGACCGCTGACCGCTGACCGCTGACCGCTGACCTCTGACCTCTGACCTCTCTCTTTGCAGACATGCTGCAGCTCATCAACAGCCAGGACATGGAGTTCCCCGGCCTGTTCGACCATCCCCCTTTCGGCGCGGGGGGTCCCCTGCAGGACGCCCCTGTCCTCGCCCACTCCGCCCCCTCCTCCTCCTCCTCTTCCTCTCTGCTGGGCCCGGGCAGCACCCCGCACCTCGACGCCTTGCTGGGACCTCCCGCCAAGCAGCCCCCCCCTTCTGCGGCGAAGCTGTACCCGCCCCCGTCCCAGCAGCCTCAGCTGGCCGCCCCCTTCGCCCAGAGCAGTCTTCCGGCCCCGCCAGCGCCCCCGCCTGCGCCGCTGCAGGACAGCAAGCCCCCCACCCCGCAGCCCTCGCCCCCCCCAAAACAGCAGCAGCAGCAGCAGCAGCAGCCTCTACAGCCCCAGACCCAGGCAGCGGCGCCCCCTCCGTCCGCCGTGAGGACCCCGAGTCTCGGCTCCAGCCAGCCGGTGCTCTTCAGCTCGCCACCCGCCCCAGGCTACCAGAGTCCGGCCGGGTATGCAGGTACGGCCCCTCCCTTGTGGCTCGGGGTGCAGGGGGGTGGGGTGGGGGTCGTTCGCAATGGCTCCGAGGAGGGGGACGGCGCTGCACTAAAAGACAGCTGTTTGGTTTGATCTCGGTTGTGAGAAATGTCGGGGCTCTTCAGGAAGAGGGTCAGTAAGGTGCTCACCAGTGAGGCCTTCCCCTCTGATCCGCTGTCTTGCCAGTCTTTCTGCATCAGCCTCTTGCTCAGCAAACCCCCAGATTCAGGACTGACTGCTGGTGTCGGTGGTGAGGTCCTGACCGGGACGTGGGCGCCTGGTTCACCCCTGTAGAGCAGCATCTCCCACTGAGATTTCTCTCTGATTCTTCAACTACCAGTGTTTGCACCATTCTTCAAACAGGGCCTCGGTGCTGAACTGTTTTCAGAGGATAAAGTGGCTGTAAATACTCTTTGTTCAGGATCTCCGCTGTCGAAGCGAAAGTTATCTGTCCCTAAGTTCCTCTGTGCCCTGACCTGCCGGACCCTTGAGCTTCAGAAGCTGAAGGTTGAAGCCCTTGAGAAAAATAACAAGGACACGAACGAAAATGAACACAGACAAGAAAACCTGCCTGGTTATCCTGGGTCAAAGTGAATTCTGTAAAGACCCGATAAGGAGCTGTCTAGACAGCGTGTGTTGAGTAACAGCCTGTTGCGTTCGGCTCGTTGTGTAATCACTGTGCAACACGAGAGGGAGGGGTGAGAGCCGTTCATGCCCTTTGTTGACTGTGTCGGTAGCTCAGTGCTCAGTATCTCACTATCTGCTGAGCACTGAGGAGATAAGCAGCCTGGACGTCTCGTGAACACCTCTGGCAGCTTTGAGATTTATTGTCGGGCAAATTATTTTTCCAGCTCAGTTTGGTCCAAACATCTGATGCACAGAGGAGGTACGTCTTGCTGAACGTTGGTTTTTTTTTGGTCAGTTAACTTTAAAATACGTTTTTTTTTTTTGAGAAAATGATGTCCGGTTTCTGAGATGTAATCCTGTGTCGTTTCTGGTGCGGTTCGGTCTAGTTGCGATCGCCAGTTGGGTGCTGTTGTGTGCAGGCCCGGCGGCGCCCCCTAGCTGTAACCTGCTGTCTTTACTCTGCAGCCGGGCCGCAGGTGTGCTCCACCCAGCCCAGCCTCCCCGCCTCCCCCCAGCAGATCCAGCCAATGGCCATCCAGACTCAGGTCCAGAGCCTGCCCGCTCCGCAGCTATTGGCCGCCACCGCGAGCCCGCCCACGCAGACCATCTCCCACCAGGTGCACCAGGTCCCGGTCAGCACGGTGCGTGTCTCTGGGTCTCGGAGTGTCCTACCTGCCTGCACAGGGGGAAGCGGCAAGACTTTCTGTCTCCCATCCTGGGCCGATAGGGTGATGGTGATCTGGGTAGGGGGGGCCTCTGCGGGTGAGAGGGGTGCAGGTTAGGTCAGACCTGTTCTCGGGGCCCTGCTGGTCCGATCGTGTCTTGCTCTTCGTCCCCAGGTCCTGCTGCAGCCCCAGTTCATCAAGGCGGACTCTCTGCTGCTGACAGCCCTGAAGCCGGACGCTGGCTCGGTGGTCACAGCAGTGAAGACCCCCTGCATGACCACTCTGGCCAGCTCCACCACGCCTGTGCAGACCACCTCCATACAGGTGAGCCCCCCCCTCCCCTGCCACACAGGTGTCGCTGCACATGCCGTTGATTAAAGGCAGTGCTGTACCTGGTCTTTATTTCCCTCTGAGAGCTGCATAAAAACCACCTGTGTTTTCGTGTTCGTGTGGGGTCGTCTCAGGGCTTGTGTTCATTGTTTCTTCATTTCGCCGCTCTGGCAGTCGCTGGGGGAGGCTGTGAGCCCGTCTGTCCACCCCGGCGCTGGGTCAGCCAGCCCGTGCCCGCCGGCGGGCAGTCCAGCGCGCAGTGGCCTCACGCTCCGACTCTCCCTCTGCCAGGCTCTGGTGAGCGGCGGCACCATCCTGACCACCGTGCCAGTGATGCTGGACACCGACAAGCTCCCCATCAACCGCATCGTGGCCAACGGCAAGCCCTGCGGCCTGCCCAGCAAGGGCGAGAAGCGGACGGCGCACAACGCCATCGAGAAGCGCTACCGCTCCTCCATCAACGACAAGATCATCGAGCTCAAGGACCTGGTGGCTGGAACAGAGGCCAAGGTGCGTGTTTCCAGTCAGACACCCGGAGACGCAGTTCAGTTAAATAGATTAGAAACAGGAAGGATGAGAAGTCAGGCGGCCAGGAAGGGCTGGGTCTTGACCTGGCAGGCGATATGAAATCCAGACCTGGCCGAGAGTGAGGGTCAGGGGTAACTATCTCTGTCAGAGTCCCGTGGCTTTGGGGGCGCAGCCTGTCGGGGGCGCCTCGGAGGGGCTGTGGCTCAGCGTGGCTTCGTCTGACTTGCAGCTCAACAAGTCGGCGGTGCTGAGAAAGGCCATCGACTACATCCGCTTCCTGCAGCAGTCCAACCAGAAGCTGAAGCAGGAGAACATGGCGCTGAAGATGGCGGCGCAGCAGAACAGTGAGTGCGGGGTTCAGGGGAGGAGGAGGAGGGGGGTTTGGGGGTTCGGGGGGGTGTGGGGAGCTAGGAGTGGTTGATCCAGTGGGGGCCGCGTCAGGCCTGTGGGAGGGGTCGGTTTCTCCCGGCCAGCTCCTCTCCTGACTCCCTGCCTCCCTGCCTGCGCTCCCGCAGAGACGCTGAAGGACCTGGTGGCCGGGGTGCCGATGGAGGTGGACGGCGTGAGCGGCGAGCTGAAGGCCGAGGCCGTGGAGCTGCCCACCCCGCCACCCTCCGACGCCGGCTCGCCCTCCCACAGCAGCCCCTTCTCCCAGTGCGCCAGCGACTCCGAGCCCGACAGCCCCATGTTCGAGGACAGCAAGGTACCCCCGCGGGCACGCGCGGCCGGGGTCACGGGAAAGGACACCGCTGTACGAGAGCCCCAGTAGAGTCCACAGGCTGCAAGCAAATAGAGGCCATCTAGCCAGTAATTAGTAGTTCCACGATCTCCTTCAGCCAGGGCTGGCTAGCTTGTTCCATACACCCACACCCCTTTGGGTAAAGAAGTACCTTATGTTCTTGGTTTCCAATACACTTCCACTTGTCCTCTGCTTTGTATTTGACTGTTCATCCTGTGGACAAGATGACAATGGATCCCTTCCTTCAGCCTGTCAGGGTGGGACTGGTGACACTGCAGCGAAGGGGAGGAGTGTTGTGTTTGTGGGAAAGTGTCTCGTTCTCGCCCTGTGGATCTAACTGTGTTTTTGCTTCTCCCCCCCCCAGGCGCCGGTCAAGCAGGAGCTGCCCTCTCCTGGCAGCGTGGGCATGCTGGACCGCTCTCGTCTGGCCCTGTGTGCCTTCACCTTCCTCTTCCTGTCCCTCAACCCGCTGGCGGCCCTGCTGGGCGGCACAGGCGGCGGCTCGAGCCCCTCGGAGCGCGCGGCCCCCTCCAGCCCCGGCCGCAGCATGCTCAGCGTGGACAGCGCAGGTGCCCCTCGCCCTCGCCCTCGCCCTTGCACAACGCCGGCTGGTCTGGCTGCCAGCTCTCTTGACCCCAGTGCTTCTGTCTCGGCAGAGCTCCCCGGCTGGCTGGACTGGCTGCTGCCCACTCTGTTCCTCTGGCTGCTCAACGGTGCTTTGGTGGCTGCGGTTCTGATCCGGCTGCTGGTGTACGGCGAGCCAGTGACCCGGCTGCACTCAGACTCCTCGGTGCTGTTCTGGAGACACCGGAAGCAGGCTGACCTGGACCTGGCTCGGGTGAGAGGAAGCACAACCGGACTTCACTCCTCTGGCTCGCTCGCGATCCGCACGCCCCGACCACAGCGGAACACGGAAGTCCAGTTCTGGACAGAACTGGCCAGTTTTCCCACAGAACTGCAGCGTCGGGCCCTCCATCACTCGCCTGGCCAGTGTACCTGTTGCCGCTGCAAATAAGCACTTGAAATGCTCATGCATGAAGAATACAGAAGCTTGAGTTTCATTTAGCTCCCTTTGCAACTTTAAATTTGTCTTCCTGCTGCTTTAAGCTACATCAGTGTGCACAGCCGTGGGCTCTGGGAGAAATGCCTTAAAGCTGAGAGCTTTCACATCTTTGCTGGTAGCCTCGCTTGTAAAGCCGGCGTTTGCCCTGTCATCCCTCTCGGAGTTATTTATTGCCCGGTTTTCTGTAGAGATTAAGGGGATCAGAGCGATCAATACTGTCTGGAGAGTCTGTTCAGGGCTACAGAAGGCTGCCGTGTGTTTGTGTTGGCGTGTTAGTTTGTGATGTTGCGGGTTTGCTCAGGCTGCGTGTGCCGTGTTCTTAATCCCGCTCACCCCCCCCGGGGGGAATCGCAGGGGTGTCTGCGGCGACCCCACAGTCCCGTTTTGAAGGGGATCGCGGTGAATCGGTCGGCTCCTCCAGCAGCTGGGCGGTTACAGACGGCGCCCTGGCCGAGGGGCTAGGGTCTGGTCACGGCCCGAGAGCCCTGCTGCCCTCACTACCGCCTCACGGGAGGCGCGCGGGGCTGTGAGAGCAGTTCGTCAGCTGTGGGGCGCGCTGAGCCCACAGGCTGTTTCGGGGTGACGTGCTGGTGCTGGTTTCCCACATGCCGGGGGTCAGAGTGTGGTCTCATATGACTGGGCTGTGACTGATATGCAGTCTTTCTCTCTCCCTCTCCCCGGCGGTTCTGCTCTCCCCTGCAGGGCGATTTTGCTCAGGCCTCCCAGAACCTGTGGACGTGCCTGAAGGCGCTGGGCCGCCCCCTGCCCACCTCCCAGCTGGACCTGGCCTGCGCGGTGCTGTGGGCGCTGCTCCGGCTGTGCCTGCAGAGGCTGTGGGTGGGCCGCTGGCTGGCGGGGCGCGCGGGGGGCCTGCGCAGAGATCGCCCCCTGCAGGACGATGCCAAGAAGAGCAGCCGAGACGCAGCCCTGGTTTACCATCGCCTGCACCAGCTTCACATGACAGGTAGGGGGCACCAGGGGTTACACAGTCGCCAGTCCCAAGGGGGTGCAGCACACAGCGGTTCTCGGCCCGCTGTGCTGAGTCTGCTGCCTAGCTTGCTGTTTCAGGGTAGTCCGTGCAAGCGTGCAGCCAGGCATATTGAACCTGTAGTTAATACAGAGGATAATCCAGTTCGGCTTTTCCCACAGTTTAATTCTTATGTCATACCTCTCACATAATAATGTTCTGAGTGATTCTCTGTAGTCATTTTAGCTTACCTTTCTGCTCCTGGAGAGCCACTGAATCCCCTGGGAATTCAAAGAAAGCTGCTCTCAGTGACTTAATTGACCCAGTTATTGCCTCAATGAGTCAAGATCCACACTGCCTTGGTGCACTGATTGAGCAGACTGGTCTGATGCACAGCAGGTCTGCAGTTTGGAGAGCCTCCTCTCGCATTGCGGAAGGTGGGTGTTGCTGTGTGTCTGGGGGGACAGGGGAGGCAGTGACTGTTCTCCTCTGCTCTGCGAACAGGCAAACTGGGGGGCAGCCAGCTGTCGGCTGTCCACATGGCCCTGAGCGCCGTCAACCTGGCCGAGTGCGCAGGGGACAACCTGTCCATCGCCACGCTGGCGGAGATCTATGTGTCCACAGCCCTGAGGGTCAAAGTCAGCCTTCCCCGAGCCCTGCACTTCAGCATGGTCAGTCCCCTGCACCAGGGTCGACGGTGTGCGTGTGCGTGTGCGTGTGCGTGTGCGTGTGCGTGTGCGTGTGCGTGTGCGTGTGCGTGTGCGTGTGCGTGAAGCTCGGCATTCATGAAGGGTCCTGGATCATGGACAGTAAGGATCTGAAGTGTGACATACCGTCCCCAAGCCCCGGCCTCTGATGAGTGCAAGAGCAGTGAGGGTGTCAGTGTGGCCTGTGTCAGAAAGCTGAGATGAGGCGGGGGGCGGGAGGCGGGAGGCGGGGGGCGGGAGGCGTGTCCGTGTGACCCGGCTGCCTGTCTCCCCCAGCGGGTGTTCCTGAGCAGCGCGCGGCAGCTGTGCCTGGCCCCCTGCGGCACCGTGCCCCCGGCCATGCAGTGGCTGTGTCACCCGCTGGGCCACCGCTTCTTCGTGGACGGAGACTGGTCGGTGCGCAGCTCCCCGCGGGAGAGCGTCTACAGCCAGGCGGGGAACACAGGTGAGGGGCTCGGGGGCTCGGGGGCTCGGCCGGGAGGGGGCGCCTCCGGCTCGGCTGTGACGGCGCCTGTGCTCTTCTTCTGCAGTGGACCCTCTGGCTCAGGTGACCCAGGCGTTTCGGGAGCACCTGCTGGAGAAGGCGCTGTACTGCGTGGCCCAGCCGCAGGGCGAGAAGGCGCTGGCGGCAGGCGAGGGGTGAGAGCGCCGGCCCTCGTCCGTCCGCCTTCGACCCGCGGCGCCTGCAGCTTTCACACTGTCCTCCTCCCCTCAGGGAGCACGCGGACGCCCTGGAGTACCTCCAGCTGCTGAACAGCTGTTCCGATGCAGCAGGCGCCACGGCGCAGTCCTTCGCCATCGGCTCCAACACGGCGGCGCTGACCGGTGAGGCCCGGGGGCAGAGCGGGCGGCGGGTCTCGTCTCGCCTGCGGTCTGTCGCGCGGCCCTCACGCCGGCGATGCTGTCTCCCCCCAGGCTGTGACCCCCAGGCGAGGTGGTGGTCGGCGGTGGTGGTCGTGGTGGTGAACTGGCTGCAGGGCGACGACGCTGCGGCTGAGAGGCTGTACCCCGCCGTGGAGCACCTTCCCAAGAGCCTGCAGAGTGCCGAGTGAGAGCGAGACCCGGTTTAGGCTGAATAGGCTAATCTGAGGCTTCTTGTTAATGATCTGAGCTTCTGATTGTGTTGTCTGGACCTACAGCCCTTTGAGCCTAATGTCTGTCTGTCTGTCCATCCATTCGCCACAGGAGCCCCCTGCCCAGAGCAGCGTTGTGTGCTTTTAGAGCAGTCCGCGCCCAGCTGGCCAAACCCGAGAACTGCCAGATGACGCTCAGTCACTGTGAGAGAGCCAGCAGCCTCCTGAGGGACAGCCTGCACCTGGGACCCCACTGCCACAGCAGCAACATTGACAAGGTACTGGCGCAGGGGGGTCTTCTCTGTCTCCACACGGCGCCCTG